CGCTCTATAATCTTTTAGTCTCTTTCTTTTTTTAAACCGGTTTAATTGACAGGTTCTGAGTAATCACGGGAAATAATCGTAGTCTAAAGCTATATAAATTTTTTTTTATGTTACGCTAAGCCACCGATAATCATTTCCAAATTTAGATTGTCTGTCATGCTCCGTTCACTTGAAAACAGCTGTAAATCACATGCCATTCCTATTCTATTTGTTCCGATGTAGATCGGAAGCCATCTTAATTTTCTTGGCATAGGGCACCTGAAGGGTACCCGCATTGGTTCGTCATAGGTTTCGTCAATCGTCAATCGTCATGAGTTTCGTCAATTCGTCATTTAAAATCTGCTTAACGAAAGGTTTTGTGATTATTCGTTTTGATGAAATACTAAAAATCGAAAATCATACAGAAGTGAAAGTTTCAGATTTCTGTTAATAATACTCTATCTATCACGTTTGATATTTATAATGCTAAACAAAAAATCATAATACTAGTAATGAAACGGTGAAGTTTTATACAGAGTGACTAATAAGTTTAACTGTTAAACCGCAATCACAAATTAAATATGTAACTATAGTTTACGTTCCGCATGATTATAAATTTTATTATATTCGATAGTTCTAGAGAATCGAAAACGCCAAGTTTGTATTCTAATAAAATCATAAGTTCATATCTTGTCCTATAATCGCGGTCTAAAGTTATTCCTAAAAATCATCTATTTTGACATTTATTTTCACGATGTTAAAAAACTCGGGCTTAGGGCTGTGAATTGATTCTATAATAATCGCTTTAATCGTTAATCGAATCGGAATCGATTCTCATTTCTGTATAATCATTTTTATTACTGTTTGCAAATTATGTGAAAACGAGTACCCTGGGTACTAAAACAAGAACTAGGGGAATACCCTGGGTGCACATGTTGGAGAAATATGGTAAATAACTTCTGGGATTCGATCATCGATTCTAATCATATCAGCGGATCGGTGGAATTTTGCCTATTATTTTATTATCATCTGATCAACAAGCCACCCTAAAATCTGAGCGTCAAACTAATCTCCCATCGTCAAAGTTTATAATAAACTGAGTGTCAAACCAATCTCCTGACGTCGAAACCAATCTCTTCCCTGTATGTGCAAGGAAAACTACTCCGAAAGTTCCGAAAAGTTAAGTACTTTCACATATGAGTGTCGTCAAGAGAAACCTGCCATCGGTGTTTCAAGTTTATTGTTTACCGGACTAAATCTATTTGATTTGTTAGAGATTTTGTCCGGTAAGTTATGAATTTAAAACCCTGATGACAGGTTTCCCTTGGCTGCACTCATATATAACAACCAAAAAAAGTAAGCACTTTATAACGAAATGGAAAATCAAATTGTGTCAAACTTTTCATGCCCATTGTGTTCAAGCAAAACGTTTAAGAATCTCAAAGGGTTACATTTGCATCAGAATAGAGTTCACAAACAAAATAACAACAATTTTTCATTACTATTTACTGATTCTTCACGTATTTACTGCCCTTTATGTCCAGGAAAAAGCTATAAGAATCTACAAGGGCTAGGTCGACATGAATCACTGATTCACTCTAACTATAATATTCCTCGTGTTGGTTTAATACCTCAACCACTTGAAGCAATTTCCGAATTTAAGAAAACATTAGTATTTTTAATTCAAGACAAATTAAAAAATGGGTGTCAGCAACGAAAACAACATGTAAATGTACCATGCTTGGAAAGTTTGTTTGTAGGGATTTTTTATGATAACATTAAACGATATTCACCAAGCCGTGGATTTTATTACTGTATATTTGGTGGGGTAGGAGCATATGAAATATTAGGTCAAATCTTTAATGATTCAAATTGGGGTGTTCGTAAATATAAAAATCAACAACAATCCTGGGTGATTTTAGTATCTTAAGATATGAATCAAATACAACCAAAAATGGAAATTCAATGGAGACGTAGGCAAATAAAAGATGAAGCGAACCATGTTTCAGAAGCAGGTTATATATTTTTAAGCTTTACAATAGATCAATTTTATTATTAATAATGTAATTAATATTATGTTGTAAATTTATGTATTAGCAATAAAAATTCATTTAAATATTATTATCTTTTATTAAATATAGTGTCTATATTTACTATTATAAGTTATATTAAAGTTATTAAATAAATTTTATAGAAGCTAGCTATAATGATAGATTTGAATTTTTTCTCAAAATATATACCGGTAGATTTATTATATAAAATTTTTTACATAATTATACTAAATGAATAAATATCAAATACCTTAGCATATAGTTATTAGTTTAAAATTTTAAAAGCAATATAGATAGAAATTATTAAAATATAAGCGAATACAAGCTATATATCTTTAAGCTTTGTAATTGATCAAATTTATTATTAGAATTAAATTTAATAATAGTTATTCGTGATTTGTAATTTTAATTGTTCTATCTTTTTTAAAGTAAATAGGAACGTTGTTAATATAAAAAAAAAGTGCTCTATTTTCATGTTCCATTATTTCTACAAGTGCTGAATTTCGGTTTTCACCAATTCCACCATCCTTTAATGTTTTTTGAAAAAAATAAGAAACATGTTGATGGTTTTTTTTTTCTACTGCTGAGCAAGAAAATGCATGTAAGCCAAAGTCTTTATGTGTAGTAAGAAATTCTGGAACATGAAATACCAGAGTATGTATATAAGGAGTTATATCATTAGGCCTATATAAACCTTTAATAAATGTTAAAGAATTTGGATTTCCAGAAGAACGTGTTAAAAATAAATTAAGCCAATCCAATGCTTTTTTTTTAAATTCAGATCCAGATACTCGAAATTGATGTATATCTTGGTATAATTCATTAAATCCATTCCATAATTGTCGTATTTGTAAAGCACGCTTAGAATCTTTAAATAAAATATTTAAGTTAAAGTTTCTTAATACTTTAAGTTTATCTTCACCATTTAGTGAAGTTGATTTCCAAGTTTTGCTTTCAAAATCTTCCCACCAATGAAAATTAACTTGAATACGTTTCATTTCTTGACTAATATCTAAACGAGCTTTAATGTTTGTTTTTATTTGTATTTCAATCATTAAAAGTTGCCATAAACGATCAGTTATTCGTAACATAACATGTAATTCATCAACAACCCAATTTGATAGTGGAATCATATAGAATAATGGTAAATGTTCATAGCCAGGTGTAGTTAAATAATTATGATATATATTTAATATATTTTTTGAAATATTCCAATCATATATTTGATCTCCATTTTGATTTTTGTGAATAGTACACCAAAGACAATAGTGATTTGAGTTTGCTGCTTTATGGCCCATACATATTGCTAGAAATTTCCAATCAGCAGAAAAATATAATTGGATTTGCCATTTTTGACCTTGTTTATCCCAATATCCATTTTGAATATCATTTAAATCTTCAATTAATGGTGCTAAAGCTACCTTTAAAACATCGTATCTTTCTACACCAGGATAAAGTATAAGAGTATAATGATGATCTGGACAATATATATTTAAATAATCATTTAATAATATAAAGGTAACCATCACATGTTTCACTTTATGGCCTACGTTTCTCCCATCACCAGAGATCCGAATATGCAATATAGGATCATTATAATTAATAATACCTTGTTCTAATAATGAAGGTATAATATAATCAAGAATATTTTTAATTGATCGGTAAACACCTTTGCCTATTGATTTAGTTACTTCATGTATAATTTCAGTATCATTAATTATATTTATATCCATTTCCAAATCATCCTTATTATCTATTTCTTGTATTGAATTTAAATCAATTAAATGAATTAGAATTAATTCATTCATTTGCTGATTAATTTGTTGGCGCATATTAGAAATAGCCCATTCTCGTGGTAAGTCATGTCCAATTGCTGCCATTAATCGATATGCTTGCCTTGAAATTTTTTCACTATCCATTGCTTTAATAATTGCTTGCATTTTAAGATTAATACTTTTATTATTTGTTTCCTTATAATTAATATAAAATTTTTGTGAATCAACCGTAAAACTTAATCCTTCAAAAGTTACTTTATCTTGACTATTAAAAGTTTGTGTTACTTGTTGTTCAAATAAATCATATAATTCTTTGCCGAATTTTGTACTACGTTTTAGTTGCATTGAATTGCTGAGATCTGAGAATGGTTTGTAACTTCTTGGTGTTTGACGCTTATCACGAATTTCGCCAATCTGTTTTAGCTGTAATCCAAAGAAATATATACCATTTAATTTTGTTTTTTTTGACTTTTGTTTCTGTCCAGTTTTTTTTTCTTCTTCGTCAGCAATTAATTTATTATAACGTTTAATATAAGATGTGGCTGCATCAGATGCACTAGATCTTGAAGTAACAACTTCAGTATTGTTATTATATGTAAACTCAATCTTAAATTCGGGTATATTATCTTGATAATTAATTGAACATAACACAGTTCGTTGTGCTTTTCCTCTACCATATGTAGTTTCAACTACGTAATTATGTGGAATTTTATATTGATTTGGTTTTAATGTATAAGCAAGAATATTTGCGCAAGGATAAATTCCTTCTTGAATAATATGATATATGAATTTATTGCAAGATGTTTTAGCTTCGATTATGGAACTTTTTGGATAGTTTTTTGTTTCGAACATTTTGGTATTTGTCAAATGTGAATATAAAAAGAATAACTGTATGTCTATCGCTATTTTGACTAATATTATTAATCATTTTAACTGTCATATATATTACGTTATTAAAATTATGTATCATTATTATATCATTTTTATTTCAGACTATCGCTATATATTGATCAATATATAGTAATTATCAATTGACTGACTCATATTGATGGTAATTCAATTTTTGTGATGATTACGCAAATCCGCTGATATGTTTTTAGAATCGATTCTCAGCCCTAATCGGGCTACGTTCGCATGATTGTAGTCATAGAGAATAAAAAAATGCCAAGTTTTTAGTCTAATAAAATATTATATAGTTATTGTATGCGAAGCAGCCAATAACTCGAATTATTTGTAAAATAATTCATTAGGAGTTATTGGCTAGCGTAGCATACAATAACGGAATTATCCGGTATCTTATGACGATTGTGCTTCTAAATGACTCGAGTTTTGGCAGTGATTACATAAACTGCCAAATAACGAAGTTATTTGGCAGATGACTTATCACTGCCAAATAACTCGAGTTATTTTGGCAGCACAATCATAATAGGCTGCCTGATAAAGGTTTTTATTTGGTCCTATAATGACGGCTTAAAATTCTTCCTGAAAATTATCCAACTTTGACATTCGTTTTACAAGATATTTTTTTTTCAAAAAATATTATAA